AAAAGAAGGGAAAAACCGTTAAAAAAATTACTTTTAGGGGTTTTGGGGGGGGGTGTGTCCCCGCCCCGGGTTTAAGCCGTTCTGCCGGCGGCGGTGGGAGCGCAGCGGGCGGGGCTCGGGGCGGGGTGATCCTGCGGGCTCGCCCGCTTGGGCTGATAACTTTGGCGGGCGGGCAAAGGAGATTTTGGGAAGAGATTTTTTTTTTTTTTTCTTTCTCTCCTGCCGTCGCCTTTTTTTAATGCAGATGTTATGGGAAAGGATCATTTTTATTATTTTTTTTCCAGCAGCTAAAGACGAGAGGTCACATTAACTTATAATACGGAGACACATAAAAATGCGATTATGCCTGCTAAACAGAACACAGTAGGCTGCTAGTTAAGACAATGAGATTTCCAGGAAGCGATGCATAAATTCTTCAAAAAATGACACATTTTTCACGTTTCATTCCAATTAAATTACTGAGGCAGCTAACACAGAGCTGCGCACACCATACATTTGGGTGAAATGAAGGCTTTTCTGTTGGCGTAGTGGTTTGTGGTTGGTTTTTTTTTTTTTAAGTCTATCTGGATGCGCGTCTTTTATGAAAGGCGGTTAATATTACGCTGCTATTAAGGAAAAAATGTCAGAGACCTTCGCTCTTCGCCTGTTTTTTCTTGTGGCGGGGGCTGGTCCGTCTCGGTTTTCCACCCTGCAGCAATAAACAGCCGATGGTCCCGGCCGGCAGCGGCTGCAAAATAATTTCCAAATAATAAGAATTACCCGCCCTGATGCACACACGTCTCTGTTTGCAAGGAGCTGGTTAAACAGCTGGGGAGAATTAAGGAGAACACCCACCCCACCCCCCAAAAAAGGCTTTGCCGACCCGTCGGGTGTTTGTCCACTCCGGGGTCCCTGCGAAGCCGCTGCCGCGGGCAGGATCGGGCCCCTCCGGGGCGGCTGCGGGGACGAAGGGAGGGGTGCTGGGGGGGGTCCCGGTGGGAAGCCGGGCTTGCTCCCCATTACCTTCTCGGTGGCTGAAAAGGGGCTCATCGGGGTGATAATGAAGCCCCGAAGTCGTAATGAAATAGCATTTGATTTTTTATTTTATTATTTGTATTTTTATTTTTTTTTAAAGCCGAGAGAGGCATCGCGCAGGCTGCGCTGAGGCGGGTGATCCGCAAAGCAATACAAATCAGAAATGAGATTTTTGAAGTCCTAATGAACCTGATTGCAGGAACATTTATAATCCCCCATGGCTTTAAATGAAATCAGATATAATCAGGAGCTGTGGGGAAAGGGAGTGTTTACAGGCAGAGATTGGGAAGTGCTGCTGTATTAGTAAAGATGCTGTTCCTTCTATTGATGTCTAAAATGATGGATAATGTGAGAATGGCAAATATACTATTTGTCTAATGGCTCTGCAATTAAATTCCCCTGTAAATGACCCATGCCTCATTTCATCCTAATCTATGGAATTTTGATTGAATTCGTCAGCTCTAATTGAAAAATACTGCACTTTAATGTCTGCAGTGCAGTTTCAGGACCGCGCTGGTTTTAATGAGACGGTGCCCCTCTGACCTGGGAATATTTTAGACTTTTATTCGGGATTTTTAAACTGGTGGATTTCTCAACTATATTCCGAGAAAAGCCGTGAACGAGAGCGTGTGTGTGTGCGGGTGGTTTTCCGGTGCTAGAGATAATCCCTCCGTACCGATGCGTTTTATTAAGGTCTCCTTTAGTGCTCTTAAAATATTTGGACTCCGGTTATTTAAATACATATCAATTTAAAAGGGGGAGGGGGGGAAGCTTATCTCCCCTCATCCGAACGAATTTCGGGCTATGAACTGCGATTACCGAAGCCAAATTTCTTTCTTTCTTTTTTTTTTTTTTTTAACCTGCACGGCGTTATTTTTGCCCTTTTACCCTCCTTTTTCCTAACCCGAAAATCCCGAGCGCCTTCAAGTTTGTTTAAAAAAACACCCAACAAACCCCCCAAAAGGGGGGGGGGGGGGGGGGGAGCCACAGAAAAAAATAAACCATCAAAAAAAACCAACCCCCAAAGCCAAAACTAAACAACTCAGCAGCACATCTCCCGTGCGTGGGGTGGAAGTTGCGGGGAGAGGACACCCCCCCCCGCGAGTTCCCAGCCTGAAATGCGTTCAGACGGGAACACGCGAAGGAGTTAATGGGATTAAACGACGAATAAAGGGGTTTGGAGTTGGGTTGGGGCGAGTTGGGGTTTTTTTCTTTTCCCCTGCTTGGAAGCCGAAGCGGGGAGGCGGGAGGGGGGTCCCGGGGCTGCAGCAGGCACGCGTGGGGCTGCGGGTGGCATCCGGCGGCAGGACCCCCCCCGGCTCCGCACCCCTCCGCACCCAGCCAGCGCGCCTTTGCCGAGGGCCAAATCCTGCTCTTCCCCCCCCTCCCCATCCCTGTTACTCCCGGCTCCTGCAGCCCTTGCCTGCAAGGGGTGACGGTGTAAGGATGGAGAGCCCCCGTCAGCATCCCTTATTTTGGGATTCAGCGCTCACACCTAATCCCTCCATCATTAAGTACAGGCTGATTTTGGGGGGGGGGGGTAGTTTTGCTCATGGTCTCCCTCCTTGCCCACCCCTCTTCCCTAGGGGGGAAAAAAAAAAATCACTTTAAAAGCACAGTAGGGTGAGATGCTTTTGGTGACGTTTCCCATGCAATTAAAATTTCCGCGGTGAAGGCAGAGGGTCTTGCAAGAATTACCTCGCTAGGGTCTCCACAAGCCTGAGTTTTGCTTTTGATAAAGTCACTGATTTTGTCAGCCTCTGCAAAACAAAGCTGCCCCCCCCCCCGCGATGGCCCAGCAGCCTCAGAGAGCAGCACCTTGCTCCAAATAACACATCCCACCAGCACCACCCCCCCACCCCGAAGCCGGGTGGGAGGTTGGACACGAACCCGTGTGCCCCACGGAAACCCCACAGCACAGCTCCCTACGAACAGGCTGGAGGTGCCCAAAGGAGCAGCCATCAGCCCCCCCGGGCACACGGTGGGTCGAGCCACCATCCCGGGCGAAGGGATGCTCTGACCTCTGCCACCCTACGGACCCACAGCCGGAAGGCTTCGAGCACCCCCCAGTTTTCCTCTTCCTTCCCGGTTCCCCTGTTTCACTTCTTCGCTCCGAAAAGCTGTACCTCCTCCCTACCCCGATCTGGGGGAAAAGCCCACGGTTTATTTAGCACTTGCCAGCCAAGAGGCCGCCAGAGTCACAGACACTGCCCCCCCCCCCGCAATCTGCCCAGTTCAAAGATGCCACTACAGATCTGATGCTCCTTTCCTGGGAAGGGCTTGGGGCAGGGGGGGCAAAACCTACCAGAAGCCACCTGCTCTTCCACAGTCCCTACTCGGGGTGATGTGGGAGCCTCCCTGAGCAGCCCCTGGGTGCCACATTTGGAGCTGGACCAGGTCTGCACCCACGCTACGGCCCAGGGGGAAAAGGGCTTCTGCCCCCCCCCCCCCCCCAGCCAAGCATGACCCTCCAAAATACCGATTTCTCCCATATACTCAGATTTAGAGCCCCTGGGAAAGGCTCTTGCCGTGTCCCAGTGGCGGTAGGGGTCCCTCCGTGGGGTGTGGGGGTGGCTGGCCGGGTTCCCCTGCCTGCCCTGCCTGCCCTGCCTGCCCCTTGCCTCCCTCCCGCCTGTTACACTTCCCAGACACAATCACGCTCCGGTTGCTTCTCCGACAATCAGAGATCGCCGACGTTTTTCTCCGGGAGAAAAATCAGCTAATTATGTGCCGAACAAAAAGGCTATTCTCGTCTGAAATAATACTCCCGTCTTGCAAAGGCACTTGTTTGTGGGCAAATTTTGAAGAGGGCTGACAATAAAAACAGCTGCAGGATCTGGGTGTTGGTACACATTTCCATGCCCTGCCAGATTACCATGCCTAATTATCTCCCCTTTCCGCAATCTAACGCAGTTTCCTGAAAAGAGATGATTTTCCACACACACCCCCAACCCCCCCCACTTTTCTATTTAAACGAAAGCTTTGCTTTTCCACAAGGATTTCCAGCCCGCTCTAGTTGGGTTTGGAAGGAGCGGGGGATGCTGCTGATTTGGGGGGCTGGAGGGTTTCGCTCAGCTCCATCCGCTGCAGTTGGAAGGAGCGGGAGGCAGGAGAGGGGCTGCAATCCGATGACGCCTACTAGATGATGGGGAAGGGGGGAGAAAGGGGAAAAAAAATATTTGAGAGAAATAACCACGCGTGCAGCTACGAAGCATCGACGGGGGAGATCAAAACCTCGCTGGTGCTGTGCTGGGAAAAATCCCGAGCGCCGCGCTACCACACATATGGTGGCCTCTGCAAGACGGAGCTGGGACATATGGAAATGAGCTGTATAAGTAAACTTTTCCCAGTCCCTTGAAGTCAGAGATGGGCCCCAAAATCATGTGCACGCATACACATACCTCCCCCCCAAATCCATCACACAGCTGCTTCGATGGCCATCCACCCTGTCCCATTTGCCACATCGCTGGGAAAAATTTTCTCTCTGGCAGAAACGTGGCATTGGGGAGGGGGGGACCCCAAAACTCCCACTCCAGGCACCCAGTGGGGCTCAGCACCCCAATAGCTGTGGCAAAATGGGGTTGGGGAGCCAGATGTAGGACAGGGTGGTGAAACTATGCTAAGGCCCAAAAGCAATAACCCCCCATAATCATTTCTGCCAAGAAAAGAACGGTTTCAGATGTTGGCTGGAAATGTGGAGGGATAAACTGACCCAGATATCTGAGCATGGGGTGGGGGGCAGCACCCAGACCTCATTTGGGGGAGCTGCTGAGCTGCAGTGGTGGGAATCAGCAGCAAATGGGTTTTTTGGGGGGGGGGAGGCTGCAAATGCCACTTGCTGAGGCCCGGGCAAGAGGTTGTGACCCCCCCAGGAGACAAACCCCATTTTGGGGGGGTAAAAGCCCCCATCACTAAGGGGGGGGGTCCCTTGGGACATGCAGCTGTGCCAATGTTGGAGGGACCCCCTCACCCCTTGCCTTGCCCCCATGTGCCCTCTGGGTTTTGGGGGGCCTGAAGGGTGGCTGGCCGAGAGGGGTAGGATTTGGGGCACAGACCATTGCTGTATCCACCCTTGGCACTCACCGGTCCGCCTGCCATGAGGGGGGAGTCACCTTCCTCTCAGGGTGTGCAGCCCCCCCTGGTCTGACCTCTGCCATTCTGCTCCGGAAAATATGAGCATCGATTAGCTAAAAATGAGTGGCTGGTCATTAAGGGCTTCCCAAGCAGGCAGGCCAGGCAGGAGCAGGATCTCCCACTGACCCTTGGTTTTGGGGGGCACCCCCCCAGAAGCCACTTTTACTCGGGGGTTGTGCCCAAAAGCCCCCCAAAACCAAGCCCAGAGGCGCAGCCAGCACCATTGTCCCGGGAAGGCTTCAACTCCCCAAAGGCAGGAGGGATCCCACCCCCAGCCAACTCCTCTCCTTTTTTTTTTTTTCTTTTTTTTGCATTTAATTTTATTTTCCAAACCACTTGATCTTTGCTTGGGAACCTCCATTAATTGCCTGGGTTTGCCTCTTCGCCTGGTCCCTTTATCATTATTTATGGCCTTTGAAATTGTGTAAAGTTCCCTTGACGTTCAATTTACAAGTTTGGGGGCTTTTTTTTTTCTTTTTCCTTTTTTTTTTTTTTTTTTTTGTTCCAGCTTTTGTCCTCGCCAAAGACGTCGTGTTGGAAAAGGCTTTGAGCCGGCCAACATGAGAGGCTCGCCGGAGAAAAGGGAGCAGCCCTCCACCGCTTTTAATTCCGCCGTGTTGCTGAATGGCTCTTTTACATAATTGCAGAAGCAATTTCAAAGCCAAGCCAGGGGCTGACTTTACCCAGAACCACATGGAGCCTATTTGGGGGCTTTTCACCAAAAAAAAAGGGGGGGGGGGAAGAAAAGCGTGAATAAAATAGTGGACTTTTTTTTTTTTTTTAAAAAAGGGGGGATTCAGCGCTTTGGAGGCACCAAATTGCTGTGTCTGATGGGGGCTGTCACACGCCCTGGGGAGCCCACGGAGGTCCCCGGGAGCGGCGTGGGTCCCCGGCGGGGCGACCCGCGTGGGGGTGGGGGTGGGTGAGAGTGGGTGCTCACGTGTGGGCCGCCCCGTCGGGG